AAGCTAATATTCTAAATTATGTAATCAACCTTAATTTTGTATAGTCAATTTCCCCATCGTATTGATAGACAACTCTGATCAAGATTTACTTACTGTTGAGCTTGATTTCGTTCCTTAATCTCTGTCATTTATTTGTCAATTTAGATTGGCTTTGATCACGGGAGCGTGCGAGTAAGGACAACATATCTATCAAACATAATTAGACAACTTCAATAAGGAATATAGATCATTTTTTACTCAAACTTCAACATTGACTCAGAACAACTATTAGCCACCAGGGGTCGTTATCGAGTATTCCATGAAAGATTTCTGAATATTTCCTTGCACCTTCCATTTTGGAAATTCAACTCCTTCAATGTACTATACTGATTTGGTAGGCACGAATTTTACAGAAAAAGTTGCTGAAAATACAAGGAAATTATCTTCAAGATTTGACTACCTTAAATCAAATTGGAAAACATGGTTGTAGCCAGACCCTTCCATAGAAGGAGATAACATCTGCTAGAAAAGGAATCAAAAGGATGAATTCACAAATTCAATCAATCCCTTCTTATGGAATCACATTCATTCTCATTTATTTACTGATCAACACTCATTCTCACACTCAATAAGCTCTAAAGCCATTATTTTCTCCGTATTTAAACATCCATGTACTCTTTTTATTCGTACATAGTTAAACCATTAAACACGGACATAGCTCTTATATTGAGGGTGAACTATTTTAAATTCTTGTTTCTTTATTCATAACTTCTTACACTTTATTTGACTGTTCATGTGCAAAATACGCTTGCTGGATCGATTAAAAGTGACCAAATTTTGTTCTTGCGACATCGAGAATGAGTCATTAGCCCCCACTGCAAATTCAAATGTAGACGAGTTTTAAGCGCTGTTTCAAGCTCAAACCCAATTTGAAGTGAGAATAAGTAGACGATTTTACTATTGGATTGACCTTTGGGGGCCATGACAATGGCTAAGTTGAAAATTGTTTGTGTTTTTTAAAATTAATTTTTCTTATGAAAAAGTAAATATGAGGGATGTATGAGGTACTTTTTTTTTTCTCTCACTATTTATTACAGCAACTCCTTAAATTTTGTTGTTGTATCAAGGGTACAGCTGCATTAGAGTAAGCAAACAATAGTAGTAGGTAGAAATTGTTCAACCAATTGGCCATGAATTAATGTGTGCACCATAATGGGCGTAAGGAAACTAAGGAAATAACCCATGGACCCCACTGAATCAAGTTCATGTCATATAAGGCATATTTGTTTACATTTTTGAAACTGAGCATGCTAAATCTTTTCTACCCATTTTCATAGAATCATACTCACATCATTACCAATCATATGCAAAAAATCATATTTCCACAATAAGAAGAAGCAAATAATCCCTAAAAAATAATAAAATAAGAAGCAAAATACTTGTTTTGCTCCATGCATATAATTGGGCCACTATTGTCATGCACTTTTTTTTTTCGGCCTCTTAGCATTATATCTCCTCCACTGGGCTTAAACTTTGTACTCGTCACTTACCCAAGTACCCATATCAATTATAACACTCAAATTTTTGGTCTCTATTTATTGAGAATTTGTTCTACATCTTCAACTACTTGTATAGTAAGACATTCATTCAAAGAAAAAGAATTATGTGATTATTGATGAGAAACTTGGGTACAATATAACTAAATGATGTATCTAAATTATTTTGCTGGTTGGATTCATTAAAATGTTTTTATCGTTTTGTCTCAAATGGGACCTCTTGCAAATAAAGGCACCATTATCCACGGGGTTCTAGATTCATACCCTATCTAAGCAACAAAAAAAAAAAAAAAGTGCCAACCCCTGTTCTAGATTCATACCCAATCTAAGCATAGTTAGACAATCTCTAATGCAATATTATAATTAATGCGCTAATTATAAATTTAATATTTGAATGTAAAAAAAACTATCCAATGCAATATTATTTATTGTGTTAAATTTATCATATGTTATACTTTGTGACAAATTTTTTACCAAATATAATATATGAAAAAATTGATATTTAATTGTTATTGGTTCAAATGTTTACTTTTTCATATAATCATTGCAACTTTTGCATTTTCTAGTTATTTTAAAAATATAAGTTTACTTTTGTAACTTTTAAAACTTAATAATTATAAAAAAAAATATATTTAATATTTTAAATAGCATTATGTATTATAATAAAAATAAAAATAATATATCATAACGTAGCCATATTGGACCTAGTGGGGCAGCTGCCCCCGGTAGCTCAATTAGCTTCTTTATATTATAACCCTAAAAATAACTTTTTTCACAATTTTTTCCAACTTTGCCCCGCCGAAATTATTAATTTACAACATTTATACTTAAGTTTTTAGAAAATTTTCAATTATACCACTAAAATTTAACTTTTACTTAATCAAAATAATCATAATGTCATTTTAGTTGAAAATTTTAGTTTAATTCATGCCCTCACTGAACAAATTTTCTAGCTCCGCCACTGTACCATATCATACCTTTTGATGTTAAATATACAATTGATATTAATATTTACATTAGAGAAGATCTTATTTGGCTAAAATGGATGATAATCACGGGTAAATGATAAAAATTCAGACTCATGCACTCTAAAAATTATTTATCTCATTTCTCCAAATATTAAATAGAAAGTCCAAAATATTTTTTTTCTTTTTTTTTAGGGAAAGTCCCAAATATGTTTTAATCACCCAATATGTGATTATAAATTTTGAGAGCACGATTATAAAGAATTGAACTTAAAACCAGCTGCTTTGATATCATATTATGTTATTATTTCTAACTATTTTAATATGATTCTCACATTTAGAAATGCACAAAAATTTGAGTCTTGAATGTACAAAAACTACACAACAGTTCTAGCCGAAAATCATTATCATCAACTACAAACTAAAAATGAAAATATAGGAAACATGTCACCCTAACTTGTTTATATTATTATTATTATTTTAGTTCTTGTCCTTCTATTAGAATTATATTCTTTTAACTAAAAACTAAAAATAAAAATATAGGAAACATGTTCTTTATGCTTCCCTCACCCTATGTTCATATTTCGAAATTCCATAGAGAAGCTATCGTCATACCCTACATATTTATGCATCATGAGTAAAAAAAATCTTATAATATTTAAACTCAAAACAAATTCTATTAAATTGAACGTAAGACTCATCAACATACCCACTAATATCTCATGAGAACAAACCACAACCTTAAAATCAAAATAAAAACTCTAATACTATCAAACCAAAGTCTCAAAACTAAATCCAAACTCTTAAAACTAAATTCAAACCCCAACTATACGAAACTAGATGGCTAAAATTCATTCCAAGAACTAAAAAACAAGCATCAAGACTGTCACCATATTTTGTTATACATATATGACATAAAACATGCACATGAAAAAAGTAAATGTAATCAGGTTTGGGGCTGATCAACTGGGAGCTTTCTTCACCCTCACTTTGCCCCCAACTCAGGGGCTAATATTAGGATATCTTCGTACTCATCCTATTAGGGAAGGATACTCATCGGTATTTGAATTCGCAGGTAAGAATGTTATTAAGTTGATATATAATAAATAAAAAGTTGAGTGTTAAAGTATAAAATTATTGTTGGTCCACCTCCTAATAGTTTAAGTTTTTAGGATGGATTGGTAAACTAACATGATATCAGAGCAGGAGGTCCTGAGTTTAAACTCCCGTAATTGCACTCTTTATCCCCATTTAAAATTATCATCATGTGTTTAGTATTTAATATATCTCGGGCTTAAATATTCACGTGTTAGGCTTTCTAATTAATTTACTCACACGATTGTCTATTGTCCAGCCCACACGTGAGGGGGAGTGTTAAAGTATAAAATTATTGTTGGCCCACCTCCTAATAATTTAAGCTTTTATGATGGATCGATAAACTAACATTGAGTGCAGTAATCTTATAGTGTTTAAAAATAGATAAATCTTTGGGAAAACTAGTGGTTTTCTTCTTCACAGAGAGTTCTGGTAATGCACAACGGTTGAGCACGATGAGAGAGGAACAAATGAAAAAGTATGATATTCTTTGCTAGGGTTTATGGCCTAATGTTCTGAATGGATTTTTTGTCTTTATGTAATTTTGTTTTTTTAATAATTACCACCCTGTTAATATTTAAAAATATTAGCATTTACTAAATCTATCATTTATTATTGCACCACTTAAAAAATTGTAGTAAATATCATATTATAAAATTAAATGAAATAAACAGTAGATTTTAAAACTATTTGAAGTAAATAACAGTTTACCGTATAAATTTTTAATTTACGCCTACTAAAAAATAGTTTACGTAGTAAAAAATTTTTATTTACGCGAATTTTTTTTACAGTTATAAAAAGAAAATTTACGCAAAAAAATCTTTTTACTAGTAAAAAATAAAACGCTTACACAATAAATTACTATTTACTTCAAATAATTTTAAATTATGTTATTTACTTCATTTAATTTCATAAATTTACTATTTACTATATTCTGTCCTATGTTTAAATCTAAATATTTTATGTTGTTTTGTAATGAAGTGGATGGCAATCTCCTAAACCTTTAAAAAAAAAAAAAAACCAAAACAAAAAACTGAAGTTCACTACATAGAGAATTTTTTTTCCTTTTCAAGTTTGTTATTTCTATTTTAATTTTCTATTTTCTATTTAATCGATATTGATATTTGATTTGATATTACATGGGTCCTTAGACCATGGCAAAGTTTCCAAAATGGAAATTGGATTTTCTTGTGTTTGAGTGTATTCTTCTTTTTTATGTTTGGCTGAGTATCTACGAATCCACAGTCTCTCTCTCTCTCTCTCTCGTGTACCCTAAAAACACATGCCCATTTCCCTACTTAAAGCTTCTCTCTTTGCCATAATCTTTCCTCAACCCCTTCTCTCTCCTCACCCCTCCATATCTCTCTCTACAAAACACTCTT